GAACAACTTATTAGTCGGAGGACGGGCACGGTTTATCGGACTTTGTCAAGTTCACATCGGGAAGTGTCTGCTATGTTACACAAGAGGGAAACGGTGTGCGTGTAGGTGACTCAGAAGTAGTACGTGCGCGTGACATTTGGGCGGAGTTGTAATCCACATTTTGTGCTGCTAGTTCGGCCTCGACACGTATCCTAAGAAACGTATCTACCAAGGCATTGCCCACCTTTCCTTGGCCTGGCCAGACGTCTCCAGACCGCAAATCCGCTAGCTTGCTCTTCTACCCGGCGGGAGCCGGTGCAACAGCAGCATCCCCGCTCGGAGTTGAGGTTCGCTCTGCTCTTTCCGCCTCTCTCCTCTCCCTAGCTGCTTCCGGGCCGTCGATCAATTGCACGCTGTGGGGAGGGAATGGAGGACAGGTCATTTCATGGTTGCAGCGCAGAAGTAGAAGGCGACAGACGCAAGGCTGGAGCGCCGATCGAGGCCAAACAAAGACTCTTTCCGCCAGCTCTCGATTTGCTTCTGAGGTTGCGCACAATCTCTTCGTATCCGAAGGCATGACCTTGGCTCGCTTGCTGCGCCCCTTCCTCGTGATCCCTGCACATCTCGACTACTCACAGAGCGATTGGTGTTTTCAGCAGACTGATGCCTCCGCTGCGAACTTCTCGCGGCCAAATGTCGACCAAAAAGTAGTCTGAGAGATTGTGATGTCATCGCGTGAGCAAGAGCATAGCTCACCACATACGTGGGTCATGTGCGCACTCACAGAGATGACCAACAGCTATGCCCATCAAATCACCAACGGCAGCTTTAGGAGAGCCATTGATGAGCCAGCTGAAAGCCACGAGGGCCCATGGTAGATTGGGGGCAGTGATGACCAGGAGACCAAATAGGCTGAGTCTGACGTGTCTGTTTCTCCTGCTCCACACGTAGACCAGTACGAAAGCCAGTGGGCTTCCCAGAAAGGGAATGGGCGTGACGAGTGGGCTGAGCAACAAGAGCGCAGCCGAGCAAAAGATCAGCAGCCAAACGTAGTCCGCCTTCTTTTGTCCGCTGAAATGATTTTCCTCCAACATTCTGCTGTATCGCAGAAAGAAGAAGAGGTGGAAAAAGAAATCGATGGAGAGCGGTCCAAAGTAGACAAAGGTGGTGACCAGGCGCCAAAGTTCACCTTTGGAGAAGACGAGGTGAGGAGAGAACCATAGAGCGTAATGCGAGGTGAGGTGAATGTGCTCGCATATTGCTAACCCGACCGCGCTGAAAGCCCACAGTCGGGTAATGGGAGGCAGACTATCGAGATCCATGGTGCGATGCAAGTGCGTGCCACCCAGCTTCCTGCCAAATTTGTGCGCTGTGCGACCAGCTCAGATCGAGTGCCCCAGTACGCGCGCAAGACAGCTGCTCCAGACTACTCTGCTAGAGGGCTGAGGAAGGATGCAATTATGTGCACCCCGCTGCACCCCTATTTCCTTACAGCTTGGCGGGGGAGCGCGGCTCTCATCCAGCTCGCCGGCGATGAGATGGCGGTCGGTGCGAGTAAATGTCACGCTTAGGCTGGCAGCAGCCTACTTGGACATTGACGCCTGTATACGCCAACAACTACACCAGGAGGATTGAATGTCGGCACAGATGTAGGACGACGAGTTTGAGTCAGCAAGAGTCAAGATGACGAGGGTCAGATGGGAGGAGCATGCATTCACGATTCCCAACTCGGGGCAC